GTGGATCACGAGGTCAAGAGATCGAGACCATCCTGGTCAACATGGTGAAACCCCGTCTCTACTAAAACTACAAAAAATTAGCTGGGCATGGTGGCACATGCCTGTAGTCCCGGCTACTTGGGAGGCTGAGGCAGAAGAATTGCCTGAACCCAGGAGGCGGAGGTTGCGGTGAGCCGATAGCACGCCATTGCACTCCAGCCTGTGCAACAAGAGCGAAACTCCGTCTCAAAAAAATAAATAAAATAAAATAAAATAAAATAAAAAAAAACACACACACGGCATACCAGTTGCCAGGTTGCAACTTCTGGAAGGTGAAAATGTGCTTACATTCATACACTTACACCATTTTGTTTTGAGGTTCAGTAATTTGTCCATCACACCCATTTTAACATTATTTATTCATTTATTATTTTTGAGATGAAGTCTCGCTCTCTCACACAGGCTGGAGTGCAGTGGCACGATCTTGGCTCACTGCAACCTCCACCTTCAAGGTTCAGGCAGTTCTCCTGCCTCAGCCTCCTGAGTAGCTGGGATTACTGGCATGCACCACCATGCCTGGCTAATTTTTGTATTTTTAGTAGAGATGGGGTTTTGCCTTGTTGACCAGGCTGGTCTCAAACTCCTGACCTCAGATGATTCACCCACCTCGGCTTCCCAAAGTGCAGGGAATACAGGCATGAGCCACAGTGTCTGGCCTTAAAATGTTTTATGTGGAGACTCACTCTGTCACCCAAGCTGGAGTGCAATGGCAGGATCATTGCTCACTGCATCCTTGACCTCCTGGGCTCAAGCAGTTCTCCTGCCTCAGCCTCCCAAGTAGCTGGGACCACAGGTGCATGCCACCACATCCAGCTAATTATTTATTTATTTATTTATTTTATTTTTTTACAGACAGGGTCTTGCCATGTTACCCAGGCTGGGCGGCAACTGGGCTCAAGCAATCCTCCCACCTCAGCCTCCTGAAAGTGCTGGGACCACAGGTGTACACCACCGTACCTAGCTAATTTTTATTTATTTATTTTTCTTTCTTTTTTAAGATGGGGTTTCACCATGTTGGTCAGGCTGGTCTTGAACTCCTGACCTCAGGTGATCCGCCCACCTTGGCCTCCAAAGTGCTTGGATTACAGGTGTGAGCCACCACGCCCGACCCTAGCTAATTTTAAAAAAATATTTTTCGTTGAGATAGGGTCTTGCTATGTTGCCCAGGCTAGTCTGGAACTCCTGGGCTCCAGTGATCCTCCTGCCTCAGCCTCCTAAAATGCTGGGATTACAGGCATGTGCCACCATGCCCAGCCCTATATATATGTATGTGTGTATATATACACACGTATGTATATATACACACATATATACATATATTATATATATATATTTATTTATTTATTTATTTTTTTGGAGACAGTGTCTCGCTCTGTGTCACCCAGGCTGAAGTACAGTGGGGCGATCTTGGCTTACTGCAACCACAACTGTAACCGCAACCTCCCAGGTTCAAGCGATTCTCCTTCCTCAGCTTCCTGAGTAGCTGGGATTATAGGCATGCGCCACCACACCTGGCTAATTTTTGTATTTTTAGTAGAGACGGGGTTTCACTATGTTGGCCAGGCTGGTCTCGAACTCCTGACATCATGACCTACCTGCCTCTACCTCCCAAAGTGCTGAGATTACAGGTGTGAGCCACCGAGCCCAGCCTGAAATTAATATTTTTAAAGAAAACCAATTTTACATGCTTGCCCCTTGTTTGATGTTTTTACTGACAGCTATTATTCTTGTAATTGAAAAGGAAATTTTTATTTTTATTTTTTTACTTATATAACAAACCTGCACATGTAAAAAAAAAGAAACGTTTTAATTTGCAGTACCTTTGAAAAATAAAAAATAAAAATAAATGTTGGCCGGGCACGGTGGCTCAAGCCTGTAATCCCAGCACTGTGGGAGGCCGAGGCGGCTGGATCACGAGGTCAAGAGATCGAGACCATCCTGGTCAACATGGTGAAACCCCGTCTCTACTAAAAATACAAAAAATTAGCTGGGCATGGTGGCGCGTGCTTGTAG